GTGATATTTTCGACTTCTTGTTAAAAACCGCAAGTCCAATTGATTTGATACTACATATATAGGTACTACATGTGGACCTCTCTCAGATTTGTTCATTTTGTGATGATATTTTCAATTCTCTAATTTTGGTAAATATTTTTGTCATTTTTGGTAAAAAGTGATATTTTCGACTTCTTGTTAAAAACCAATAGTTCAATTGCTTTGATATTACATATATAGATACTACATGTGGACCTCTCTCAGATTTGTTTGTTTTGTGATGATATCTTCAGTTCTCTAATTTTGGTGAATATTTTTGTCATTTTTGGTAAAAAGTGATATTTTCGACTTCTTGTTAAAAACTGTAAGTCCGATTGCTTTGATACTATTCATATTGTTCATTTTCTAATGATGTCTTCAGTTCTTTAATTGAAATGTGCATTGCTAACACCGGAGCTATCTCAGCCGATAGGCTGCTTGTCTCTCTTTCTTTTCCTTTTCTTTATGTTCTTGCAATTATACTGTACTGTGATGGACCTTGTACGTAGCTTGATCATGAAATACGAGTGGTATCGATATTTCATTTTCAGACATTGCGTATATGAAAATCATTGCATTTCACCAAGATCTTGATCATCTTGCTGTTTTTCATACAGGGCTGACAAAGTGGATGACGTTCAAGTTCTTTGTTATAGAGACAGAGTAAGAGACGGAAAGAGGGAAGTCGCTCACAGTATAATGTTATATCTACATATTCCATCCCTATCACACATCACAGGTAAGTATGTAATCAAAAGCTAACATTGTCTGATTGCATCCACCTGGCAAGTTATTTATTTAGAAACATTTGCACATTCCACAGGGGTGTAGTAACAGACAAAAAAAAAATAATAAAGAAAAAATAAGTACTTACTAAAAGGATAAGAAAATCAACAAATTAGCTTAGTTCAAGACTTGAATGACAAGCTAGGATTGTTAAGCTCTTTTTAATAAAATGTGCATATGTTCATCACTGAGTAATAAAGTGAACTGTTTGTCTATTGGTTTTACTGTCAAAATATTAGATCCATAAGCCCAACTCTCGTAAACCATACTCACTTCTAAACCATTTTTTTTATATTTATATACCCACTTCTAAACACGAGTGTTTTCAGCGGAAAAAAACACCCAGCTCACAACTTTCGCGTCCAGTGAGTGCATCCGGGCGACGCATTTTATTCAGCCTTTTTCGTTATCTGGCTTGGAATATAAGGTCCTGTGAAAAAGGAAATAAATGCTATGACTTGTAAACCAAAAATTGATAAATGACCACCCACTTCTAAACAAAAAAACGTGAAATGACACCCCAGTCATATATCCGTATTGCACTTCTATGGAAGTAGCCCCCCCCCCCCCCCCCCGAGTATGACCAGAGTATGCAATGTGTGTGATATGTAATGAAGGTTCTACCAAATGATAAATCTATATAAATCTAGGAGGGCTAATGTAAACGACTAAATCTGTGAAAAAAGTGATTAATGTTCATCGTTGCTAGTGTCCTTATTTGTCCTTGCATATTTCATGCATTTTGATCTCTTGAATATGGTGCTAGTCGCACCCGCTTCTGTACTCAGTGATGCTATTGGTTGGAGATAAATCTGAATCATGCACACACACACACAGAATGATATCTTAGTCACATGAGTATCCCTAACAACGTCTCAAGAAATTATTGTGGTGCAACATTGTAAAATGCTACTGCTGCTTCTCTTGGTTGCTGCACTGTGTCCTGTTTCAAAAATCACCCATAGCAACTAACAACAACATGTGTAAAATGCTACTGCTGCTTCTCTTGGTTGCTGCACTGTGTCCTGTTTCAAAAATCACCCATAGCAACTAGCAACAACATGTGTAAAATGCTACTGCTGCTTCTCTTGGTTGCTGCACTGTGTCCTGTTTCAAAAATCACCCATAGCAACTAGCAACAACATGTGTAAAATGCTACTGCTGCTTCTCTTGGTTGCTGCACTGCGTCCTGTTTCAAAAATCACCCATAGCAACTAGCAACAACATGTGTAAAATGCATTGTTTGTTATCGCAAAATTCAAACACGCACTGTACAACAAATAACCACTGCCTTTTAGAAAATATATATTGAAAAATCTTAAAGAGATTATTTATGTCAATGAAAGCATCATTGTTTTTTGTTCTTGACCACAGAGAGGCCAAATTGTGTAGGTTGGGAGAAGAACCAACGACAGAAACTTGGACCACGAAAGGTGAATTTAAGTTCCAGTATGGATCCTACAAGGTAACAACTCAGTTCAATTAAATAATTATGATTAATTACTTGTTATTCTTTATTTTGTGTGGGGTGTTTTGTTTTTTAATCCTAATCTTGTCAGCCCTATATGCTTTTACATTGCATTCAACAACTTTAGGGGTAAAAGCTAAGTCAAATCAGAGATATTTGAATCAGCGCCCTCTTGTGTTGAGATTTTGCAGATTCATGTAGTTCAGAGAAGTGTATAGTCACAGTTTGTTGTGTCAGTGTATTAGATCTTTATTGTAATCAATTTTATTGAAATGAAATAAAAGTCCACATTTATCCAACTCAGTTCAACTTTATCATGTGTTTTATTTTCCATTTCAATAAATTCTTTGTTTACATACTTTTTTTATATTACAAAAGATTGGCGGAATCCTCCGTTGATTTGAATTTAAAATTGATGAGATGGAGGTTACTGCCCTCGCTAGATTTAGATCACATTGCTCAAACCAAGTGTTTACTGCTTGGTGCCGGAACACTCGGATGTAATGTGGCTCGCTGTCTTCTGGTAAGTCAATATGGTTACCATAGTTACTTTATTAGAGGTACATTAATAATGCCAGTATCAGTAAGCTGTCAAAATTGATTATAAAAGTGATGTTTTAGGAAAAGTTTAGGAAACTTTTGCATATAACTGTAAAATATGTCTTTTTTAATTGGCATTTATTTTAGCTAGTTAAACAGGGACTTATGTTTTGACCTCTGTGCGTGTGTGCGTGCATGCGTGCGTCCGAACTTGTATCTTAGAAATGCCTGAACCAGTCACAATCAAACTTCACACATACATCGTACATGACATTATACATATGCACATCAATTTGTTTCATGATCAGATTCAAGATGGCTGAATGGCAGCCATTTTTGTACTGAAAAATCATCAAAATTAAGCATTTCTCGGCTGTTTACAGATGGATTTTGTTCAAACTTGGTATATACATTGAACATTATAGAACCTTGATGCACATCACATTTTGTTTTAATGAATGTGGTTCTAGTGCCATATCTCTGACTTGCTTTGAATGATTCTGTTCAAATTTTAAATATTCATTATACATCATGTCATAGATATACAGATATATTGGTTTGACGATCCTATTCAAAGTGGCCCAATGGTGGCCATTTTTGTGCTTAAAAAATCATCAAATATCAAACATTTCTGGCATTTATGGATAGATTTTGTTCAAACTTGGTACATATGTTATACATTACGGGTTCCTGATGCACGTCATTTTATTTTTCATTTATTTATGGCTTACTGGCAGCCATTTTGTTTTAATGAATGAACTTCTGGACCCATATCTCTGACATGCTTTGACTGATTATATTCAAATTTTATATATTCATTATATATCATTTAATATACATGTATTCAAAGCTGATTTTGTTTTAATTAATGCTGTTCCAGAGCAACATCTCATTTGATGATCAGATACAAATGTCAATCATTTTAATGTTAAACAATCATCATAATCATATTCCTGACATGGTTATATTCCAGCTATATTACTATAAACAAAACTATATACTGTAGAATACTTTATTTTCGCTTGGAATTTATTTTCGCTATTTTCGCTGAAGGGGTGATTCCGTGAAAATAAAATCCAGCGAATGTACTTTTTTTCCTATATTTGACATTAAACTCATCAAAAATCAGTAAAAATAAATTCCAAGCAAAATGCCCAAAAAGCCTTTTCAGCAAAAATTAATTCCAGCGAAAATAAAGTATTCCACAGTATATTCAATAAATAACGGGGACTGTGCCATGCATGGCTTGTTTAGCTAATTATTAACTAATCTGTAATTTCGCTAATTCAAGATGTTGCTAATTTAAAATAAACTATATTCTCACAATTAGATAGTTGATATTTTAGATTAAGATTCTAAGTTCATGCATTGAGTCAAATTCGCGTGTAGCAATTTCAACGTGTTTTACAGTATATTATGTACTTTCAATAGAGAAAAAACAGTACTTCTGAATAACTTCAATTAAAGGGCATTAAAAAAATTACCATTATTTGTTTTTACTAAATTTTGTATATCCAAATGTTGCCCAACAGCATTGTCCCAAGGAATACATGCTTGCCTACTTGGTTCAATATATTAGTGATTAAATACATGTATAATTAGGTAGTTTGTGGTACACTTCGCGATACACTTTGTGGTAACTCGTATGTTCTCCAGTAACTCGTTTTAAGATGCAATATGGCTGCCTGTTGAGATAGTTCATTGTACTTTATTTTGTTCATGTGTTATTCTACTGGTAAGTTTCTCTAGTATCGAACATTGGTAATTTATGTGACACTTGCATTATTGTATGATGACTGTAGATCACCACACATCCAGACATATTATTCTTGATTTATTTATGATCTGTATTTTCTCCATCAAGGGATGGGGTATCAGGACCATCACGTTTGTGGACAATTCTAGGATATCCTACTCCAACCCAGTCAGACAAACATTATATGAATTTGAAGACTGTCTGGAGGGAGGCAAGTCAAAGGCTGTAACAGCAGCTGCCAAATTAAAAAAAATTTTCCCTGGTGTGGTGAGTATCGTGTTTATATATTATTTATAATGAAAGGTTGAATATGTTCATTCAGCTAGGGTATCACATATATGTATGTATATATGTAGATTCAGCTAGGGTATCACATAAATGTATGTATATATGTACATTCAGCTAGGGTATCACATATATGTATGTATAGATGTACATTCAGCTAGGGTATCACATATATGTATGTATATATGTCCATCAGCTAGG